CCATCTCACCAGCCCTAGGGCCAAAATGTTGGCTAACCATGCAGCCCTTCCTTTTCTCCAATTTTGATCTGCTAACTTAGGTTGTTAACTCTCCAGAAGAGAAGCTAATTATTAACCTGCAATATATGCAGTTCGGTTTACCCTATCTGTTGAAATATCAAACATTTTGGCATATCCTGGAACAGATATTTTCCATCAGATATTGATATGTTGAACTTTAAGACCTTACAGAATATGAAGGAAAAATAATTATATAAAAGTAGAAATAAGCATTTACATATTTTTACAAAGTTTAAAAACCTAACAATATATGGAATTGTAAGTCCTTATATTAGGGAGACAATATATTTACAGATGTGGGTCTGGTTTATTTCACTAATAAGTATATCTTCAAGGGGCGTCCACTTAAATATGAAGGCTCCAAGTTTATCATTCCTTATAGCTCCATTATAGAAAAGTACCACATCTTTTTCAACCATTCCACATGTGATGGGCATTTTGGTTGTTTCCAAGATCTGGCTATCACAAATCGCGCTGCTATAAACATAGGTACGCATGTAATATGATGCTTTCAGTTCCTCTGGGAAAATTCCCAGTAGGGGGATAGCAGGCTTCAATGGAATTTCCAGTCCTAGTTTTCTAAGGAGTCTCCACACTGATTTCCATAATGGATGCACCAGTCTACACTCCCAACAGTGGAGAAGGGTTCCCCTTTCCCCACAGCCTCTCCAACATTTGTTGTTGGTTGATTTCTTTATGATAGCCAATCTTTCTGGGGTGAGATGGTATCTCAATGTTGTTTTAATTTGCATTTCACGGATAGCCAGTGATGTGGAGCATTTTTTCATATATTCACTTCTTTAATTTCGTTCTCTGAGAAGTGTGTTCATCTCAGATGCCCATTTCTAGATTGGGTCTTTAAATTTAGGGGCCCTAATGCTCTTTAGTTCTTTATAAATTCTAGAGAGCAGACCTTTGAGTGCTTACTAGTTAAGATTTTTTCAAAGTTTGTGGGTTGTCTTTTCACGTTGTTGATCATTTCTTTTGACATGAAAAAACTTCTCAATAAGAGGTGGTCCCAGTTGTTAATTCTTTTAAGTGTTTCCCGTGTGATCTGGTTTCTGTTCATGAACTCTTTGCCTACCCCTATGTCTTCAAGAGATCATCCTACTTTCTCTTCTAGGAGATTTAGTATTTGTTTTAATATTCAGTTCTTTAATCAATTTTGACTTTAGTTTAGTGCATGGTGACAGACCTGAGTCAAGTTTTAATCTTTGGCATGTAGAGCCAATTTTTCCAGCACCATTTGTTAAAGAGACTATCTTTCTTCCAGTAAGTGTGTTTGGCCCCTTTGTCAAAGATCAGGTCGCTGAGTGCATTCCTAGAGGCCTCTGCATCTACTAGTCTATTCCATTGATCCTCAAGTCTATTTTGTTGCCAATACCATGCTGACTTTATCACGGTAGCTTTGTAGTATAATTTCAAGTCAGGAATTGTAATGCCTCCTGCTTTGTCTTTGTTGGCCAGGATTGACTTTGCTATTCTAGGTCTTTTTTGATTCCAGATAAATTTTAGGAACAATTTCTCTAGGTCTGGGAGGTATGCTGGTGGTAGTCTTATAGGAATTGCATTAAATCTATACAAAAATTTTGGGAGTATGGCCATCTTCACAATGTTGGTTCTTCCTATCCAGGAGCAGGGAATATCTTTCCATTTTTCTCAAATCCTCTACGATCTTTTTGCAAAATACTGTAATTTTCCGCAAAAAGATCTTTGATTTCTTTAGTTAGATGAATTCCCAGGTATTTCATTTTCTTCGGTGCTACTGTAAAAGGTATTGTCTCCCTAATTTCCCTCTCAGTGTATTTGTTATCTGTGTAGAGGAATGCTATTGACTTTTGGGTATTGACTTTATATCCTGCTATGCTACTGAATTTGTCTATCAACTCTAATAGTTTCTTAGTAGAGTTTTTTTGATCTTCCAAATAAAGTATCATGTCATCTGCAAATAATGATAGTTTTACTTCTTCTTCTTTACCTATTCTTACTCCTTTTATTTCTCCTCTTGTCTACTGGCTCTAGCCAATGATTCTAGAACTATATTGAAGAGGATGGGGGATAGAAGACATCCTTGTCTCGTACCTGATTTGAGAGTAAAAGATTCCAGTTTTTCCCCATTGAGAATTATATTAGCTGTTGGGTTGTCATAGATGGCTTTTAACAGATTGAAGTAGAGGCCTTCTATTCCAATTTTCCGTAGGACTTTGAGAACACTTAGATTCTTTCCAACATTTGCAATTAATTCCAAATAATGCTATAGTGAATATCTTTGTGCATATGTACTTTTACGTTATTAGAATTGTGTCTTCAGGGTGAATTGTAGAAGTGAGATTGTGGGTCAAGAGGTAAACGCACATTCAGTTCTGTTCCAAACTGCAAACTTCCTTTCTCCTTAGGGTTGTATCATTTTTGCATTTTCAACAGCAATGAAATGAGTACTGCTTACTTACTGCCTTACTAGCAGAATGTATTATTAGTTTTTTGTGTTGTTGGTTTTTTTTTGGCAGTACTGGGGATTAAACTCAGGCCCTTGCGCTTGC